GATGTTAAATATTGTGGGGTCTTCAAGAGTCTGGGGGAGGCTCGTTAACTGATCCAACCAGTAAGATAGTTGTGCCAGTGCTTGTATAGCGATTTGAATGACAAAATAAATAATCTGTTTTTGCGTGATGAAAATAGCCCATATTTATTGTGGTTAGTATTCTAGCCTCCTTTATTTGTTGCAGTTTGTATTTTAAACTTCTCTTATTTGTTACAGTTTGTATTCTCAACTTCTATTACTTGTTACAGTTTGTATTCTAAACTTCTATTATTTGTTACAGTTTGTATTCTCAACTTCTATTAGTTGTTACAGTTTGTATTCTAAACTTCTATTATTTGTTGCGGTTCGTATTCTTAACTTCCTTTATTTGTTGCGTTTTGTACAGATGGCGCACTGAGCAGCTTTGTGCTTAAACGAACAAACTCAACTTATATTTACTTGTCCATACGTGGTTAGTTTCGTGAAACTGGCAAGTTTGCAAACTGAAGTATCACAGGTATAGATGGATATCTAAACTAAATTAAGCAACAAATTACATGTTGAATTGATTTAATTGAACTCTAGCATCTGCTCGTTGACAAGTCGCCCCCCCCCCCAGTAGCACAGCGGTATGTCTGCGGACTTACAACGCTAGAATCCGGGTTTCGATACCCATGGTGGGCAGAGCATAGATAGCCCATTGTGTAGCTTTGTGCTTAACTTCAAAAACAGAAACATTGACAAGTCAGTTCAGTAAACAACTTGCTGCTTATATATAGATATTTACTCACAACTAAACTAAACTAATTACTACTACTCAACTACTCGTAAATATATTACAGACGAGTTCAGCTATTTTTGACTTAGGATAGTTTTCTAAATATAGCAATCTCTACTCAGACTTGCATGTTTTTGTTTTGTTTTATCTGTAATGCTAAGTTACACGAAGCCCTTTCAACTTAGGTACTAAAGAGACATTTAGCTTTTTTTTTATTTCGGGAACAAAGATTTAAGATTTCAAGAAGATATTATAATAGTGGATGGGATATTAATTCTTTATGTCTAAATAGTCTCTGGCTTTGTTCCAAACACAGACAAAATAAATGAAAGAAATGAAGTCACGTCACTTCAAAGAAAGATACTTTAATCACTGTTTTAAGCACGTTTTTTTCACTTGATAATTTTCACTTTATGCACTTTTCAACGAAAATCAGGAGCAGTTCAGTTCAAAGAACAACACAACACAAACCTGCGATGGTTTTATTGTCTTGAAATCTTTACATGTTCTACTGTAATCCCTGCACGCTGAATCCGAAAATGATATCCATTTTTCTCAATCACGTACTGATCGTTCACAAAACGTCATATGTACTCTTACATAATTGAACCATTTTCATTGAAATCGGGTCACATTTTGTTATGCTTAAAATGTTGACAACCACTGACTACAGATTTCTCTAGATCAATCGCGACGTGAGAGTCTTATCGATCGTTCTAGAACCCACGAGAAACACACCGCTAGTATATAAACGGTTAGCAGGCCACATGTATTATTTATTTGTCGCTGTGGCAACAAGAGGTTATGTAAATTACCCAAATATATTCTGTTATATTTGTGGTAAATTTCTCGTATATTTGAGTAAGTTTTGTTTTCTTCCTGATTTGTAAAAAATCCTTAGGTGATAGAAAAAATTAATATT